ACCAAAGCCCTTGACATCAGCAGCACAAGTGGTAACCACCACTCAGAGCCAGCAACGCCTGATCATGCCTGCAACTCCACTACCCCAGATCCAGCCCAACTTTACCAACCTCCCTCCAGGCACCGTCCTGGCACCAGCCCCCGGGGGCGGGAACATGGGTTATGCGGTCGTGCCAGCACAATACGTTACACAGGTTTGTCGGGATATTGGCGTGTCGTGGTATTGTCGTGTTTAATAAGCACTTCTCTTAGATATGCATGTGTTGAGCTTTTTCTGTTGTGTTTTCCTGTAGCTCCAGCAGTCTCCCTTTGTGACCCTCGCCAGCAGCTCTGGTTTCCCTGCATCCACTGGTATCCAGACTCAGGCCAGACTGCCACTTAATGGGTAAGAAGGGACATGAATTTTCTGTTTTATTAGGTGGAAGAAAAACGTAATCATTTACCATCCGCTTAAAAAACATTTTCACCAGATTAGAATATAAAAACCTAAATTTGACACTATCTTCATTAAGCAACTAACTAAAATAGCCATGAAAAGCATCAGAGGTGCGATGCATACCTTGCATGCACTATATGTGTATCGCATTAATTATCTAGACTGTAAATGTGTTGTGATTTGATTCTAATCCAAGCCATATTTCTCATTGGCCCACAGCTTGTCAACAGCAGAAGCGACCTCAAGACCAAGGAAACCGTGCAACTGCACCAAGTCACAGTGTCTTAAACTGTAAGTACAACCTGTCTGCATTTGTTTGACATGTCATGTCGGCTGTTGACTCAAATTCGTATTCAGTTCGTTTTATTAAGTAGAGCTCTGTTTTTCTTTCTCCAGATACTGCGACTGCTTTGCAAACGGAGAGTTCTGCAATAACTGTAACTGCAACAACTGCTTCAACAACCTGGAGCATGAAACAGAGCGTCTCAAAGCTATAAAGGTATGGACCAAGTTCAGCATATTAGTTGTTTGATTGAAGTTTCTCCATGTCAAACAGATGAATCAATATTTGATGGTGAATATTTGCTTTCACAGACATGTCTGGACCGGAATCCAGAGGCCTTCAAACCTAAAATTGGTAAAGGCAAAGAAGGAGAGTCAGACCGTCGGCACAGCAAAGGCTGCAACTGCAAGCGCTCAGGCTGCCTGAAGAACTACTGCGAGTGCTACGAAGTGAGTTTTCTCTGTCACTGCATTGATTGAAATGAGCTGATCGCTTTATTTCCCTTTTCTTCTTATCGACTAACATTATTTACATTTGTGTATTTCTTTCGTTTCAACTTTTCAGGCGAAGATCATGTGCTCGTCCATCTGTAAATGCATCGGCTGTAAGAACTTTGAGGAGAGCCCGGAGAGGAAGACACTGATGCATTTGGCCGATGCAGCAGAAGTGAGAGTACAGCAGCAGACTGCAGCCAAGACCAAGCTGTCGTCACAGATCTCAGACCTGCTCATGAGGACCACACCTGTTATTTCAAGTGGAGGCGGGAGGTATTGTTACACTTTTCTTCTAAAACAACAATGAATTACTATTAAATTCTGATGTTAAAATGTTTAAAGCGGTTCATGCTGATGATGAAAGACCTTATTCTGAATAAGACATTTTGATTATGACGTTTACAAGAGTTACTAATAGAATATTCTTATTTACATTTTACAATTTACATTACATTTTACATGTTACAGAGCCTAGTCTGATTATGACTTGAAGCAGTTACTTCAGCACATGATGATGTATGTTGTGAATACTTCAACAGGACATTATAATGCCTTTAAGATGTGTACATAATGTGACTTAGTTCAGAATACTCCATGTCTTCATTTGATTATTGTTTATCCCCAGTAAGACATTGTTTAGGTGAAGGTAATCAGAAAATGCTGTTTGCACGGCAACATCTTGTGTCATTCCAGTTAATGTCGGAATATTCCTGTTCATATAAACAAAGCCACTGTGAGAAATCCAACAGTTTTCTATTGGATAAGAGCAGTGAGCTTCTCAAGAGCATCGCAGCTGTATTAACCAGGCCTGTTTTTTTTTGTTATTGGTCTCATACCGACCATGGGTCCAGAAAAGTAGTAAATTCGTCAAACTTCTGTCAACGTGTGTGAGTGTGCTTTGAGCGTCAATGAGGCAGCTCTATGCAAAGCAGATAATGAACTTTTACCACCCTCAAGTGCATAAGAAGGAAGGAAAGAGGTGGTTGAGGAAGTAGGTCTGTTCACAGCTAAAAAAGCTGACCAAACCAATAAACTGTTTGATTTTATGAAAGGGAGTCAGGTGCAAAGCTGTAACTGAGTCAGGATTTTAAGAGCTGTCACTTCAGGCATTGGTAGAATTTCCCCTATGGTTCATATGTTTTCTTTTCTGTTATTATGCTATTATGAGTCTGATGTTTTACCTACAAAACTCACTTTCAGTGTCTCTCTCAGCAGAGTGTGTCTCAGTTGCCCACACTGACTCAGTTTAGTGGAAGCTTTACTCAAATGAGTCGCCACCTCTGCTCAAAGATAATAATGTCTGATGACATGAGGGATGATGTATTGTCTTTTCATGGCCATGTTTTTTTTCTCCCTAGGCTGCCATACACGTTTGTAACAAAGGAGGTGCTTGAAGCAACGTGCGAGTGTCTGCTGGAACAGGCCAAAAAGGCAGAACAGACTCACCAGCCTCAGGCTGAAGCAGAGAGGGTGATCCTGGAGGAGTTCGGACACTGCCTCATGAGGATAATTAGCTCCGCTGGGAAGGCCAAAGCAGACTGCGCTTCCATCAACTGCTAGGCAGAGCCCTCCCAAGGCCCTCCACCCTCTAAACCTGCCATGGCTGCAGGAGCTGAGAGGCACAGATTACTCTGCACTCTGTCTCGGACCCCTGGAGGTTTTCTCCTGCAGGGAAACAGGTTGTCTCCCTCATCAGGAGGCAGAACAATGGCCTGAAATTAAAAGGATTCCCCTGCCTGGGCCGAGCTAAGGCCAGCTGGAATAATAAACATGGAACAGTTGTTTGCACTGTTCACCCTCTTAGTGAAGAACAAATGGACGCCGCATATGGTGGATCTGCCTTCAGAACTGTTGATCACACTCATTCACCTGGCTGTGATGAATAGAAATGACTGAGAGAGGAAGTCCTGAACATGATGATAAACATCTCCTCACTTTATTTTTCCTACAGGGTCCTATCAAATCTGTGTTCTCCACACTTTCGTTCTTCCATTTTATTCTGTTTTTACTTTCTGTCTTTCCCATGTTGAAGTTTTTGAAAAGAATGCCTGTAATTTTTATGTAATCCGTACATTTTGTGCTTACAGTAGACAAGCAGAACATGTATCTTTTGATATTTATTTTGACAAATATTTGTGAGCGCTAATATTGTGTGGCTTATAGTGCTGCAAACTGTTAATTATTAACTGCGGCTAGGCTAAATTGTTTTAATGAAAATGATTAGAGGAGGTTTTTATCATAAATGCAGTTGTAATATAAATGCACACATAATGCATTGTGCTCACACACACACACACACACACACACACACACACACAGATACAGCACTGCTCAGAATAGTTGGCTAGACTGGCAGAGGTACACATTTTTATCTGGTGCTGCTTTCTGTTTTATTAGTCATGTGCTTACTGTACATTAAAAACACCATCAATTGGAAATTATTTCAGACTTGTTAAGTTTTGTCCCTGAAATCTAAAGTTACCTCATCCGTCCAAAGCTGCTCTGATGGGGCACAAACACATTTCAGAGCAGGAAAAAAAAACCTAATGAAATAGAACATTAAACATGGCTGCTTCTCCTTTACCATTTTCCCTTCCAAAGTCCTGGTGGTATTTGCAGGCTCACTTTAGGTGTCTGAAAACTCTGTCACAACTGTTGAATCAGGCTGCATCTAATGGTCATTCTCATTATTAATTAATCTGCTGATTTTTCTTTTCTCAATTTTGTCTATAAAATGTAAAAAAAAAAAAAAATGGAATGAATACCCAAGGTATGGGTATCTTCAACTGCCTATTTTGTTTGTCCTTTTTTTTTTCACCAATCAAAAGTTGATGACAGATATTTTGACAGGTTACTGACAATGAAACCTGATCAAACCGCCATACAGTCCTTATGAAGCAAATTAGCTAAATTTTGAAGTGTTAAATTATAGATACGTCTGGTTTTATTAAAAATGTTTATCCAAAAGTTTCACTTGTTCTTACGAGGTATATAAATGTTTAGTGGTACAGAAAAATACTAAAGTATGCTTGGCTTTATGTCTTAAGCATTTCTCTCTAACTTGAAACATCCAAAACTAAAAGAAAGCGAGACAAATAAAAATATGAACAAAGTTGGAAAAGCAGCAATATTTACTTTTCTGACACTAAAGCATCTATTTTGTTAAATAATTCATTGTAATTGTAATTTTTTAAATGATAAAAAGGGTTCAGGCTTCCCTGTCTAAACAGAATATGTTTGGAATTTTGACTCATTGAATAAAACAAACAATTTGAGTGCATCATCTCAGCGCTAGGGCAATTATAAAAGGGCTTAATACTCTGTTGTTCCTCCACTTTGCACAGATGAAAAGGTAAATCGAGAAAGCACCCAGCAGATGAATTGACACTGGACGTAATATTTTGTTGCACCATACTTAAATGTGTATTATTTAGAAGTTTTCCTCTTGGATCATCAGCTAATCTGCTTCATCAGATGCGTGTGGTTGTAGTTTGATCAGATTTCTGTCGTGATTTAAATATTGCTGCACTCTGACCAACGTCGACTCTTGAGTGGTTCATCCAGGAATTGACTCGCACTTCTGCATTGGCTTCATATTTCAGCCCCCCCCCCTCCCTCCCTCCCTCATCGTATGTAGCACAGAAGGGTTGTGACGTTAGTTCCTCTTATGTTCACAATTCAGGGGCAAAGGGCAGTTTCACAGTAATGTATTGTAGTGCACATCCTGTACACTAGGTGGCCGTAATGTGCAGCGTTACAACTCAATAAAGAAGAAGAGGAAGAAGAAGACTCTAGGGTGGCGTGTAGTTGAGGATCAGGAAAATGTCGAGGAGAAGAAAACTGTTAGATTTTACTCACAAACGTTGAAGTATCCAGGTTTTTGTATCAAATAAATCTACGTGGTGTGGACAGCTAGTAAGCTAGGTCTCTCTTCTATTCTCAGCCAGTTTGTTAAACAAGGTTTCGTTTAGCTACTTTAGCCGAAACTGTTAACACGTGGAGAGGCTCGATAATCTATGGGTGAGTGTGTCTTCAATTCTAATGATCGATTACTGTTGTTTTGATCGTTTAAGTGTCTCAAACATCACAATCGATCCGCTTGATGTGGTAAACCCACCGCTGTCGGGCCACGTGGCGAGGAATAGTCACAAGCCAAACTCCGCTTATAATATTCGTGATTGTTAATTACTCGACAATTTACGAATATAAGCAATGATCACAACAAGATTACATATTCTTTAGTTGAAAACAATATGTATTATAATTCGGCGTATGTTCTATAACGTGAAATAGATTTGTTTGCAGTATTTCGGTGTAGAAATGTACTCTAGTCTGTTTGTAATTCCACAAACTTTTGCACACACAAATGTCACTTTTTGTTTGGTCACAGTATTTGTTTCGATGTTAAAAGGTCAACTCTTCATCGTGAAAATCTAAATATATGTCTTTACAGGTCACCTGAACAAAATGGGTTCCAGTGAACTGGGCTTGTGGACCTCACATGCATGTAGGTGTTGCAGTCATTGACCTTAATAAAGTGAACTGCCTTCCCAATGATTATTTCAATCACTACCCATCTGACCCATTCTCATGTCTGGGGAAGATTATCAATGAATCTCTGAATGAGGGTTTGGCGTTCATGGAGTTTACTGCTGCTGGTGAGTGTAGAACAGATGTGAATGTAACTTTTCCTTTGGCTTTGTTCTTTCAGGGTCGAGCTGCTGATGTGAATGCAGAGCTTGTGTTTGGGGGGCATCTACCACAAGCACTAAAATGGTTTGTCTTTGTTTGTTTTTTCATACACTTTAAGTTTTTACAATAAAATAAGTTTTGGAATAAACTTGGTGTGTGTGTTTTTGGTTGGTGGGAAAGTTGTGTTCAAAAGCTGTTTTTAGACACTTTGTACATTCTTCAACTTACTTTACCTGCTCACTACAGGTTCTACAGGTATATTTGGTTTAAAACAAAACTCCCCCTATTGTTGCATCTAATCCTTTCAATCTCTAGAGTTGAATGGCAGGTTGAACGTGACACATTATTCAATTTAACTAAAGTGCCTGTACTGTGCTCAAACTCAATATTCAATTTGTTTTCAATGTAACGCCATTTACACATTTCAAACATTGTAACTAATTTATTTTCAATTGCTTGCAATGAGAGGCCCATTTTAGGATAATGTATATTATTGGATGACAACCACTCATGTATTGATTTGTTAATTTTATTGTTGCAGATGGTAAAGATGGAGATAGTTTTAATGTACATACTGGTGTGCAAATTCCTCACTCAGGGATTACTACATTCTTAATCTTTACCATTAAACAATACATTTTAAAAGGTTGGATTTTACTCTGATTATCTGAATTGACAAAATAATATATAGCAAATGAATTCAGTGAACCTTGAACACTACATAAGCTACAGTATGTTGGTGAGTAGCAGTATAAGTAGCAGAAAGTGGAAATACTCAAAGTTTAAGTACTCAACTGTATTTTCCGTTAATCTAATTAATTACTTACCATGTCTGAAATGGGCTGTTCTGCACAGATACTTAAACTCTTGATGCTCATCTAGAAAGTGTTATTTAAGTATTTCTACACTGTGGTATTACTACTTTGACTTAAGTACAGCATCTGAGTACTTCTTCCACTTCAAGTGATTTAGAAATGTATAAAATTACAATGCTTCACCATGAAAGTATGTAACTAACAGGAAACTACACAACTGAATTATTCCATATTTAGTACCTTTAAATGTTTTCACTTGCATTATTCTTTTAGCAGTTTATATATTTATTATAAAGGTCAACTTTAGCACATTAAAGCCAATTCAAATGTGCAAAATAAGAAAACAAATTACAAGTGGAAATGTAATCCGATAAAAAATAGCATAATTAAATAAGAGAAAACATATTTGATTTCACAGTGTGGCTGTTGAGGGATATCTTGTACCAGGGTAAGAATTATAAAGTTTTAATCCTGAAAACAGTCTGCAGTTAGCATCGTTAGCATGCCGCTACCTCGGAGGAGGTGGGGCTCGGACGTCCCCCGGAAGCTGTTGTTCTTCTTCGCGTGCGCAGGAGGCGGTTGTACCGGGTAGTGCCACGTTGATGGACACCAGTGGGGACGTGGAAATCCGTCTGCAGACCGCAGCCGGGACCCGGTAGCCTCCTCTCCTTGTGTTTTCTCTGCCGTGAAACCCTGAGCACGCTCCACAGAGGAACCGTGTGTGTGTCTGTACGCGTGTTTTATGTCTGTTCGTGTGAGAAGGCGCACAGAAAGTGAAGGTAAGCTGTTTCAATGAAGTCAGGAGATCTGTGCGAGTGTGCATCTGCCCTCACTGGGGTGTTTTGCACAGGCAGCTAACAGGCTAGTATAGTATGTATCAGCCTCTAGCTTGTACTAGTACACACAGTACCCAGTACAAAAAGTGACAACACATTTCTGTGCGTTTCCGCTGCCAATGTGAATATTAGCTTCGTGCTAGCTCACTGTATTTGAACGCAGCACTCAGGACTCAATGTCTGTAGAGATATTTAATCCATTTATAACATCCTGGGTTCGTACAGGTCTTAAACACTGGTCTCAGTTCAGTTTATGTTCATTTAAGACTTAGATTTCATTTATAAGGCAGCAATGTTAGAACATGTTCTTATTTGTGTTTTTAGCAAACAAAGGCAGTGTTACGTTGTCAGTGCTAATGTGCAGACCTCTGACCTTTTCTTCAATGAGCTCTTTTTATCTGACATAGCAGCCAATAAATAATTATAGGTCTTGAACATCATTCCTCTAATACAACAATACAATGAAGTGTCCATGTGATAATTAGTGTCTGTTAAAGTACCTCAGTAACTATTGTATTTATGACAGTAGAATACCAATACCATTGTTTTTGTTATTAGACATGTCCCATACATGTTATACTATCCCTTTAATATCACCTTATTACTTAACTTGTATGTATTTGCCTCATCTTACCTTTAAAGTGGAGATTCACATCATTTTCAAGCAGATATTAACGTAAAACCGATATGATCAGTGCATTGAATGAGTTAGTTGTTGCTGCTGTTCGCACTTGTTACTAAGGGATCTGTTTCTAATGTGATCCCAATGCAAGTTATGTCAGACTATATTTAGCATTTGTTGTGTAAAATATTAATTAAATCAGTTACAGTCTTGTTATGGAGGGATAGTGACAAAAAGAGGGGGTTTCAAGACAAGAGTCTTTAGACTTTAGTAAAGACTGTAAAGATAGTGTCTTGATTTAACAAACTCAAGTATAAGTCACATTCACCCATTGACTAACATTCATATACAGCATATACACAGTGAATAGCACATTTCAACAGTGAGGCAATTCAAAGATTTAAATGACCATAAGAAATCATAAGAAAATACAAAAATTAGAAGTGTTTATTAAAAAAAAACAAATGTGCATGTAAGGGTTGTATTAAGTCAGATTTGGAAAGAAGTGAACATTTGCATAAACTCAATGTAAAAAAAATAGTGTAGGATGTTTTTTAATCCATACTCTAGGAGCTAAAATACAGGAAAGAACTGTTTGCTCTGTCATCTGTGAGAATATCCCCAGAAGCCACAAAAATACATTCATGATTCACTTTGATTCCCCCAGGGAATTATTGCACAGTCATTTACAGTCTGCACTTTTTCCCCCTTCAGGATGAAACTCAAAGAGATCAACCGCACAGCCATCCAGACCTGGAGCCCTGCTCAGCACCACCCTGTCTACCTGGCTACAGGTAGGAGCATGCAGTAAACACCGGCACAGGCCTGCTGCTGCCGCTTCTGCTCCTGTCGGGTGTTCTGACGGGACATTATGTAATTCTTCTAGCCCTTCATGCAGCTGCTTTCACTCAGCTGGTTCATACAGAATCACTTGTTTGCCTTTTCAATAGCAAATGACAGCAACAAAGAAACTGAGGATTTCCAACATTATTTAAAAATCTCTTACTTGATTATTGTAATAGGAGCCAACCAATTTTCTGTGGATTATTTGAGTGACCACTGCAGCTCTACATCAAATGTGCTCTGTCTCTCTGCAGGAACATCAGCCCAACAGCTGGATGCCTCCTTCAGCACCAATGCCTCCTTGGAGTTTTTCGAGCTGGACCTGGCTGATCCGTCACTGGACATGAAGTCATGTGGCAGCTTCTCCTCCACTCACAGGTATTAAACACCACTGACTTCACCCACTCTGTTCACTGTTTTTATAATCTGTGAATCTGTTACGTTTTCTGCATTTGACAAAGAAAAGCAGCAGATGTTTACCGCCCCCTCTTCTCTATGAAATTTCTGTCTGTGGATACATTTCTGCTGTTCATCTTTTCTTTCCTCTCTGTGCAGATACCACAAATTGGTGTGGGGTCCCTATGGGATGGACTCCGGCGCTCACCCATCTGGGGTCCTTATCGCAGGAGGCGAGAATGGCAACGTCATCCTCTATGACCCTGCAAAGATCATCGCTGGAGAGAGCGACGTGATCATTGCTGAGAGTGACAGACACACTGGGCCAGTGAGAGCTCTCGACGTCAACCCGTTCCAAGTATGATGCATTTCATCCCGTGTCGCTGAATTTCACATTCACTGTGTTTAAAACTGCTGTTACTCACTTTGTTTTCTGTTTCTTATAGACAAACCTTGTTGCATCAGGTGGGAATGAGTCTGAGATCTACATCTGGGACATGAATAACTTTGGTTCTCCTATGACACCAGGACCTAAAACACAGGTAGATCTTGTAAATCAGCGACATTTTCCAAATTACATTTTCAGCCCTTCTCATGTCAGAAATAAAAAGATCTTGAGAACAAAAGCTCATGATTTTGTCTTACAGCCTTTGGAGGACATCAGCTGCGTGTCATGGAACAAACAGGTCCAACACATCCTGGCCTCTGCCAGCCCGAGTGGCCGAGCCTCCGTGTGGGACCTCCGCAAGAACGACCTCATTATTAAAGTTAGCGACCACAGCAACAGAGTACGTTGAACTTTTTCCAGTCAGATGAAACCCTGTTTTCTCACAATCCGTAGACACTGAATACTCAAAATGTTTACGTGCATGTCTTTGTTTGTAGATGCACTGCTCTGGACTGGCCTGGAACCCAGAAGTGGCAACTCAGCTGATTTTGGCCTCTGAAGACGATCGGATGCCAGTCATCCAGATGTGGGACTTACGTTTTGCTACCTCTCCTCTGAAGATATTAGAGAATCACACACGGTAAACAGATTCACACACTCTTTCCGTTGCAGTATTTGAGGATAACCCTGGGGATTTTTTGTATTTTTGTTATTGTCAAGGAATCCCATATAATGACCAAAACTGTTGAGTGAGCCACATTAAACCAGACCTTCATTATACATGCTGTTGATTATTTTTTACTTAATCCCACATACATCCTCCCGCTCCCCCGTTTTCCCAGTAGAGCACAAAAGGAAAAGCCTTAGTGTCCAGTGTTTTATTTGTGACTTGTTTTTCAAAATACTTTATGTCTCCAGTTGAACCAAATAAACTTGTGCCACTGAAAGACTGAAGATATCAAAGTATTAAGAAACTAACACAGTGAAAATATATCAAATATCAGCAGCCTTTTTCTTTAAATCGTGATTTTTTTTATAGTTGTAACAGTCCTGGTTCTTTTTGTGCAGGGGTGTCCTATCCATCGCTTGGAGCTTGGCTGATCCCGAGCTGCTCCTGAGCTGTGGGAAGGACAACAGGATCCTGTGCTGGAATCCAAACACAGCAGAGGTGAAAGTTTACTGCAAATGTCTTTAATACATAAAGGATGCTATTGATGCAGCTTCACTAAGATTGTTCTGCCGATGTCCTCTTTAATAAAACTCCTGCTTGAATACGCAGGTGCTGTACGAGTTGCCCACAAGCAGCCAGTGGTGCTTTGACATCCAGTGGTGCCCCAGGAACCCTGCGGTGCTGTCGGCTGCCAGCTTCGGCGGACACATCGACATCTACTCCATCATGGGAGGCAGCAGCCAGGCGCAGAGCAAGAGACAGGCTGACCAGGTAGGAGTGAATGTTATGTTATAAACTGAGATGAAGAAGAGGAAGTTTGTGTTTGATGATTTGTATAATAAAACCTTTTCAGTGCAGCCATTTTAACATTTTAAAAATTATAAGGTTCTCAGAGGAGATAACACTCATTATCACTGAACATAACTTTGTTTTGTTAGTCATATATCTAGTAGATGTGGTGCCATCAGACCTCATGACCAACCAAATAATCTGGACTTTAAGCTAATTCTATATATCAGGCTGTTTGATCTGGTCAGGATTGTGACCTATGACCTTTCTTCACCTTAGAAAAGAAACAGAAATAAAACTATAACTTGATGTTGTTACAGATAAGCACCTCATTCGGGAACATGGATCCTTTTGGGACAGGACAAACTTTGCCTCCACTGCAGCTGCCCCAGACCACTGCCCCTCCAGCTGTAATAAACCCCCTGAAGAAGCCACCCAAATGGATCCGCAGACCTGTTGGGGCCTCGTTTGCTGTGAGTCCTGTTTCTTCTGCCTTACATCAGCATTTTGAATTTTGTTTGTATTTTGCTATTTGAATCACTTGTGGTTTTATCTGGTTACTCACAGTTCGGTGGAAAGCTGGTGTCTTTGGAGAACCCGAAGCCAAACCCTCAGCAGCTGCAGCAGCCCACTTCCCACGTTGTACATGTCAGCCAGGTTGTTACAGAAACAGCCTTTCTGAAGCGCTCCGATCAGCTGCAGGCCACTCTGAGCTCAGGCAGCTTCGTGGACTTCTGCCAGGGAAAGATCGATGCAGCTGAAAATGAGTTTGAAAAGACAATTTGGTCTTTCCTCAAGGTATGAAAATCAGAGAGAATCCTCTCCAAGAAAATCAGAGTCCATTAAGAAAGTGTAGTTTTCAACAGAAACTCTGGTTTCTTTTTTCAGGCTAATTTTGAAAATGATATCCGCAGCAAGTTCCTGGAACTTCTGGGTTACAACAAAGAGGAGTTAGCCCTAAAGGTGAGAAGTTTTCTTGGCTATTGTTCAACCAATATGATGGTATTCATATGTATTTGTTCAAAATATATATTATCATTCTTTAATCAAGTGTTTCAGTCTCCTGACAAATCTGTCCATTTGTTGTCAGATTTCAGCAGCACTAGAGGAAAAACCTGCTGATCCTCCGGAGGTGAGTTTTTTGTTTTAGTTCAGTTACTTCAATATGGTATTTCGAAGGAATAGTTTGACATTTTAGGAAAGAGATTTTTTTTTGCTTTATAGCCAAGAAGAGACCCACAAATCTCTATCGGCTAAATATGAATTAGTGGCGTAGCATAATTTCTTGCAGCCAACGCTACCTGCTCAGCATCAATCCACAGACAGGCACAGAGCATTTAGCAGCTGAAGAGTTTCCCTTCCAAGTTAATTGAGATGCTTCTAAATCAGCACATGACAGTACAACAATAATGACTGAGTACGATCAGCAGTAATTGGAGGCACATTTTTAACTGAATTGCTGTTAAGTATCTTTCTTACAGTTTTTAAATGAGGAAGTGTCGCAAGTATCTATAAAGCTGAAATCCTTGTCTCAGTTCTACAAACACTTCACTTTTTGAAACTGCTCAGAGGAAGCTGGAATAATGTGCACAGACACCAGAGTTAGCAACCATCTTTCTTCTGTTAGAGGTTTCCTGGGCCTGTTGCTTAACTTAATTTTATTTCATCAACTAAAAATGGCCTCCACCTAGAGCCCCATCTCATCATCTTAATGTGGACCAGAGAGCTGACGCTGAGCTGTAATTACCCACAAAATGAAACCAAGTCAGATCTCAGCCAGCTGACCCCACTCTGTCTGAGTGCCAACCTGTTCTAACCTTGCTGCACAAATCCGTCACTTGCAAATTCTTTTTCATAATTGAGTTTCATGTTCATTTTAGCCTCATGTAGCAAACATATCCTAGTAAAAACCGGGCTGGTATCCAGGGATTTCAGAAGTAACTTATCTGCACCTCCCTGCACTTCTTCCCACACGTCTAATGAAATATCTGTGTTCGTCTCAGCCTCAAACTTCTCCTCTTCAGGTGGAGGTGCCTGCTCCAGTCAGCCTGCAGCCTTTACCAGACCTCAGCCTCATGCAGCCAGCAGACACTCCAGAGGCTGTGTTCGACATGATCGCTGCAGCAAACCCTCAGCCAGCTGCCACATTTGAACTGGACGCCACTCCTGAAGCAGACGGTGTAAAACCAGAAGCAGCAGAAGATTTAGAGGAAGATGTTCTCACTGATGAACCAGAAGAAAATGTTGAAAAGGTTCTCACACAAGGAGATGCTGAGGAAGAGAAGGAGGAGGTGGGGGAGGAGATGGATGAAGAGGAGATCCCCTTAGATGAGGTATAATGTCATCATTTTACATTTTCATATATGCCATCTGATATATATAGACATTTCCCCCTAATGATGAATTACAATCAATGCTAACACATGCAACAATTGTAAAAATCAGGTTACAGGCCTGGCAGAGCATCTAGCATGACCATAGAGTCTATAGCCTTTGAAAAATGTTCAATACAGTAGCACAAGGGGAAAGGATAGGAATACATATAAATAAATATGAAACATCAATTAAAGTTTTTCTGTTGTTTCAGGAGACGACAGCATCAGTGGAAGAGGAGGAGAAGGAGGAGGAGGAGCACATTTCAGCTGAGACCCCAGCTCCGGTTCAGGCTCCAGTTGAGTTGGCCGCTGAGGTCCCAGCTCCATTTCTGGCTCCAGTTGAGTTGGCCACTGAGGTCCCAGCTCCATTTCTGGCTCCAGTTGAGTTGGCCACTGAGGTCCCAGCTCCATTTCTGGCTCCAGTTGAGTTGGCCGCTGAGGTCCCCGCTCCATTTCTGGCTCCAGTTCAGGAGGCCACTGAGGTCCCAGCTCCAACTCCTGCAGAAGGAGTCAGTCTCAGCATCAGTCAAGGTAACAAGATTTTCATTGTTTAGAGTGTGTGGACATTATAATAGCCACAATTATTCTTTCAAAGAGGCCAGTGTGTCTTTTTTAAACTAATTCTGTGACTGTATTACTTGGTAACTGTTAAATATTAAAACCTTTTTGTTTCCCTTCCAGATGTAGACGGCTTGATCACGCAGGCTCTGCTGACCGGAGACTTTGAGGGAGCTGTTGACCTATGTCTCCATGACAACCGGATGGCGGACAGCATCATTCTCGCCATCGCAGGAGGGGCCGAACTCTTGGAGAAAACCCAGAAGAAATATTTTACAAAAGCACACAGCAAGATAACCAAGGTTTGTAATGACCAGTAGGGGAAATGTATTTTTATGAGTTGAGAGTTTATTTTCAGTGTCTGTGTTTTTGTCCTGCAGCTGATCAGTGCAGTGGTGATGAAAGACTGGCATGACATCCTGAAGACGTGTGACCTGCAGAACTGGAAAGAGGCCCTAGCTGCCGTCATGACCTACGCTCAGCCTGAGGAGTTCTCTTCCCTCTGTGGTTAGTTTTCATGCAGATGATTGTTTGTTGTCTCTCAGTCATGTATGTTTTACCGTCTAACTGAGCTTCTCTGTTTGTCAGACCTTCTTGGGGACAGACTGGAAGCAGCAGAGGTCGCTCAACTCCAAGCCCAGGCCTGTCTGTGCTACATCTGTGCCGGCAACGTGGAGAAACTCGTGTCTTGTTGGACCAAAGCTCAGGAAGGACACTGTCCCCTCTCTCTCCAGGTTTGTTAGCATACGTTGATAATACATCATATTTTGTGTTTTCGTTCCTTTTCTGTTGCAACAAATAAAGTGACACAAAAAAGTGGATGTTGTGTTTCAGCCACGCTAATGTATTGTTTCTATTACCCAGGACCTGGTGGAGAAAGTGGTGGTGCTGCGTCGCGCAGTAGAACAGACCCAGCGCTCTGATCCCGCTGCTGTTGGCATCCTATTGGCCGAGAAGATGAGCCAGTACGCCAACCTGCTGGCCTCACAGGGCAGTCTGACCACCGCCATCACCTACCTGCCCGACAACACCAACCAGGTACGAAACAACAGTGCTGCGGCCTGTTATGAGAGGAGGTCACACTGATACTGTAAACACAAGCTTAAATCTGTAATTCTGTGATGATGGTGAATCAGATGTCATGTGATCGTACAGTAAGGTGTCAAATTTTCCTGTGACTTTGGTTGACATTTTTATTATTCATGAATGAAATAAAAAAATAAAATAATGATTTGTTTATGAACATATTTATGGGTTAAACAGCTAATTACAACTGAAGCCACTTAATGTTTTTCATATGTGACAGAACACATCATTCTTTTTCTTTCTGTCACCAGTTCCATTATTACCTGAATGATGTACTAGGTGACAATACTCACAAAGTGAAAATAACTAGTTTTAACATAACAGTTTTGACTGCTGGCTGCTATTTCACATTTTTACCGAAAACAATCATGAGAGACAGTTTTTTTGTCTCGTGTTTGGTCCATGCAGGTTGCCGTGCAGCAGCTCCGTGACCGCCTCAGTCGGGCTCTGGGGCAGCAGGCGGTGGCTCCTGCAGCTCCTGTACAAACCCAGAGAGCTCAGTCTCAGCGACCTACCCCTCAGGCTCAACACAACTCAGCGCTGCCACGCCAACCCTTTACCCCGGTCCAGCCCACCATGGTGCCTCAGCCCACTAGTGCAGCTCCAGTACCGATGCTCACACCTGCCTCTGCGCCTGCACCTTCCCAGCCGCAGTATTTCCAGCCAGTATGTTCCAACGGTTTCCCATCGTCCCACACAAGTGTTCACACAATGATCCACATTTTTATTTATTTATTCACAGTTGTTTGCTTTTGAAATTCTATTATTCATGAACTTAATTTTGAAACTAGGGACCAGATGTATAAAAAAATGTTGTTTTGCCTGTGATTTATAAATCCACACAAACAAATGTTTTTTTGTGGAAGTGGGCAAACACACGGGCCTCATTTCCACAATAAGACATCACTAATGATTATAACAAAAGGAGGAGATTTCTTTAAAAAGTTGAGTGAGTCACACCAAAACATTTTAAAATAGATATATGTACATACTGTATGTTTAACGCATCTGTAGCTACACATCCATACACATACAAACTTGAAGACTTGTCGATTAAAAACAAGTTTTACAGGTTGTGTTGCATCTGCAAGGTACTAAGAATGCACACAGGATTTCAAGTAAGTTTATAAATGTGTCATCGACATTTTGCAGAAAGCTGAAGATATAGGAAAAAATGAACAGGATCAGCATCATGATAAGATTCTGTCTTTCACTCCCTCTCAGTAATATCACCTACAGATATCTGTAGTAGAAATGTGTTTGTTGCTCTGTAGTGTGCGTGAAGTGCACACATTGCTCTTTTATGAATACCAGCGTATGTGTAGGAAATGGCAAACATGGCGTTTGTGTGTACGTATGGTTTATACATCCAGCCCCCGGGAGTTTGTATGATCAGACTCAAACATCAGACATCAGGACTCAAACAGATTTACGTTTAGTGTTCATTAACCTGCAACACAGTGTGCTCACGTCTCCACACTCACTAACCACCTGTCTGTCTGGTGAAGTGCTCATTGCAGTCTTCCATTGTGTTGCAGTCATTTCAGTGACTGGAATTCCATTCTAGCCAGGGTTTAAATTACACACTGATTACCAAATATTAATGATAATTGTGTGAAAAGTGAAAAAGACTTAATTCATAAAGTGCAAATTTGGTTTTTAGTATCCCTGTCGTTTGAACCCTGGCTCCTCTTATGTCTTCTCTCTCCTGCTCTCTAGTCCAGTGCTCGTGCACTGTAGCGTTTGTTTTTTTGTTTGGTGTCCCCCCCCCCCCCCCCTTGCGCCGCGGCCATCATTAGTATGTGCCGTGTTTTTCTTGTATGCTTCAGATGAGGGCTGCCTCCACTGTCACCTCCTGGAGTAATCAAAGTCCCACAGCCCTCCCCAATGTCCCTCCTCCTCTTCAAGTAGGCAGCGCCTCTGAGCCACAGGTACAAACACTGACCGACCATCCAGCTCGACACCTTTGCTGATCCTCTTAAATACAGACGACCTTAACAACTGCGAATTACTAAACTGTTTTCAATAATAGGACCAATGCCTGATATCCTAAACTTCTCTGTGGCCACTCTGTCTGTGGTAATGCCTTTCCCTTTTGCCAGCTCACTTCCTGTTGATGCTGTTTCCTCTATCTCCTGTGATGCAGGCACTCCATTAAGTCTCATTTGTTTCTCCTGCTGCTCCATTATTAATGTGGTTTATTGCATGACTCTTCACACTGTGAATCTGCCTACCACTCCTGACATGCATGCCATTCCCCACTACCAAACAAAATATGACTATCGTGAAATGTTTGAACTTCTTTACAGGTGAGTGAGTCTCACTCACCAAAAGGCAGAAGAGGTAGATTTAAGACACGTTCTACCCTGTTTGCAAACTGTCTAGCTGATCCTTCAACCTCTCTTGCGGAGCTCAATGAACAATTTTCTCTCCTTTATTGTGAAGAATGGTTTTCAGATCTCTTTTTTCTTCTTTGTTTTTTTGAAGGCGGAGCCTCCAAAGTCCATGTACGGGATGCCAGCCTCCTCCACAGCTTTTGCTGCACCTGCGGCCTCGTCCTTCATTTACTCCCATCAGTACCAGCGTAAGTGTTTTACAGGCCACTGAAGACAAAGAATGCGCTCTATAGCACCAGGGTCATTGACAAGCAATTAGTTTTAACCTAGTGAGACACAGACACATTTAGACAGTGAAAAGCATTCGTATTATTTTTGTTTGATTTCTCATTTTTGCGTCATCAACAAACCCACTCGCTTGCATTGCATCCAGGATATCCTGCTGTGTTCTAGATCGGCTCATTCGGGCTTTCTCCAGAGTTTTTACAAGGGGACTGGTTGGAGAAACTCCTGATAAAGTCCAGAGCGTCTCACTCAGCCATTTGTGTTTTCACATGCAGCCCCTCCGGAGAGAAAATGTCAGTGCATATCTGCGTATATGCGTATATGCGGTGATAGAGTTCCCCTCTTGTGCAGCTTGGACAGAACACAAACCTGTTCTCAGTGGAACGACGCAGCGACCTCTCGTGGATTTATTTGCATCTAATCTTATGTTGGCAAGTTGAGTGGAGGAGGAGTTAAACCATCTACAATCGTGTACAATTCACAACCACCTACACATTTATAGGAGCGTGGCACATGAGCAGCACACAAACTTTCCTCTCTTTAAAACACTGACAAACATTTCCTTTTGGAAAATGTTTGTAATATCTCATCCTCGCTGTGCTGTAGGTTTCAGTGTGAGTCACTAACAGAACATGACAGCGTCTTGGTTAAATCACTTTTTTAGTATGTTTATCTCTTTGCCTGTTGAGTCTTTTGTATCCTACCAGCTAAAGAGTTTGTAGCATGCACTGTAACTCGTATTAATCGAATGTTTCTTGTTGCATGATACAGTATTATAACAGCATCTGTTGTTTCCTGTGTGACCCTCAGCTTACCCCCAGGTCAGCCAGTATCCACCTGGAGCTGGTGGGGTGCCTGTCTATCAGCCTCTACAGTACAACTCCTCTCAAGCCTCTCTTCCACCTCCTCCTGCAGAGCCCTACTCCCCTCCTCCTCACCCCCCAGGCTTTCTCTCTCAGTACACTCAGCCTGTCCCCTCTCAGCCAGCACAACCGTTCTATCCCGGACAACCTCCCATCAGCCACTGCCTGTCCTCCTCTCCACCCTCACAGCCTCCTTTCTTTCCCCCTGCCGCCTCCTCCTCCTCCTCTTTCTCTGCTCCTCCGTCCTCCGGAGCATCTTTCCAGCATGGCGGGCCAGGATCTCCTGTGTCATACATGCCTCTTCCTCCACCAAGCGGAGTCTCAGGTACACAGCTTGAGCTTGACCCTGACCCCGAGCGGACCACCGCCTCTCAGAGAACAGGTCTGCATGACTCTGATTGCACTCACTGTCATCGCTCTCCTCCAGTCAGTGCCAGTGCCGTACAAATAGTTATAGACTTCAACAGGGTTTCATTATAATCAATTAAATTGATCAGATTATGTTATGATAAATTAGATTTTTTTTATTAATTTAAAATAAACAACAGAACTGAGCACATCCCTGTGCAATATCACTATCACTTAATATTCAAATATTTAAAAATATTACCATCTTGTTTTATATAATTATTATTTTTAAGTGTAGGACTTCAGATCTTATATTTTAGCATGTTGGATGGACGACTGTGAGTTCACCTTAATGCAATTCTAATCAATTTACTGCTCAGTTTCTTTAGAAATCATCAGCATTCAGTTTGCAGACAGTGACGAAGGCAGATAATGACGAGGACAAGAGAGTGCAAACAGAAATGAATGAATTAATCAGATTTTAACTTTAAAACTTTTGCTGCTTCAAAATTATCTGCAGCATTTAAAATCAACACTATTAATAATCCTTCAATCCTCAGCCGGATGATTCAGGTCTAAAATAATCAAATAATTATAAATATTGATGATGGTCATCACTGAGATCACTGAACAGCAATGAGAGCTCATCAGCGTTCTGCACCTAAGCAAAAATAGACCACAATTAATGACTACAATTAGAATTTTAACATCATGGTTTATGTTATGTAAACTGGATGCAGAACATAAGAAGAAGCTATTTGGCATATGTATGAAACTTGTGACTAGTAATAAATGCTTAAAGACCGATTCAGGTTAGCTTAGAGATGTGTGACTCAGTAGACCCTCAACAGAGAAGCTGTCACCAGTGCAATGATTATATTTCACACTGAACCTTGCTAGACATAAACATTAATTCATTTGTGAAAAGTCCCAACTTCTCTTAAATCAATATTTAACTGCTTAATGTGAATCACTAAAATTTGCTTTAATCATTGATCTAGCAATGGTTTGATGTTAATCATAATCAAATATTATCCACACTTTCAATCAAGTGTGGAGTAGATTTGGTGTCATGTTAAATTTCAATGTTATTCAAATTCAGATTAATGTTAACACCAGGTAGAGTGAGAGAGCGAATCATGAGGATTCTGTTTGGTTCTGTTCTTTAGGGCCTCAGAACGGCTGGAATGACCCTCCTGCTCTGAGCAGAGCAACAAAGAAGAAGAAGGTTTGTCTCCTAAATGAAATATAACTGCATTCTGTCATAGAAGTGTATTTCTTTAACTGTTATTCTTCTCTGTATGTGTCCAAGCTGTACAAAGAGACAGATAGTGGATGCCATATGTTCCATGTACAGTAATTTATATCTGTCAGCAGGTTCCAGAGAACTACACTCCCCCTGCACCCATCACTGCTCCCATCCTGGCTCCGCTGGGTGCTGATCCTCAGGCGCAAATGGGGTCCTCTGGGGCCCCTCAGGCCATGGTCCAGGGCCCACAGGGCGCCCAGATCCCTTACTCAGGAATGAACCAGCAGCAGCAGCAGCATCATCATCATCAGCAGCAGCAGCAGCAGCTCCCCCCGACAACCATGAACCCTGCAATGCCCAAGACAAGTATGGAGGGAGCACCGGGAGCACCTACTGGAGATGTTATTCAGGTACACAGAATGCAAACGTTACAGCTTAGAAAATGTTTTCTATAATATGAATTACCAATACTTGATTGGTTGTTATCATTGACATTCATTTTATTAATACGTTCTGCAGTAGCCTGTTCCTCTGTGCCTCTCTTTACGTTTGAAAACCTCTGGATTACAGTCACACTGTTCATAGGTGAAAACTCCAACACAGCTTATAACACCCAACCACTCAAATCAGTTTTTTGCTGCTCAATTAAAGACAAAGTTCCCAATTGTGGCAACACGGCTTATCTTCTCCTTCAGGGGTTTCCATGGTAAATGCTTCAGCCAAAGTTTTTGTGTTCTACATTTTTAAAACCTGAAGATGAATGACTCAAGTTGATGACGTCTCTACTTGCATAGTTTGAATAGAGTTTCGTATTCTATCATAGCACAATGATTCATTTCAGTTTTAATGCCAAATCACAACAAACAGCATCTCAAGGTACTTTACATAGTAACGTTGAGACCTTTACAAACTCACCAGGTTTTCATGACGCCAAGAGAAATGGTTCAGACGTCAACAAATATTTTATAAATCCATAGAGTTAACGGAGTTACCATTGTTTATATTTACTGTTTACATGTAAATCTATATATTTTTTCTATCCATTCTGTTTTCATTCAATATCGGTTTATATTTTTTATAAAATAAATTTTTAAAGTTCCTTCAGAGATTTTTGATTAACGGCTGAAATGTCATTATCTGTGGATTTGCAGCATTCACATTCTCTTCGTCCTTTTCAGCCTCTGCGGTCCATCCCTGCTGAAAAGATCATGAAGAAGCCGATCCCCGATGAGCACATGGTCCTGAAGACCACATTCGAGGGGCTCATCCAGAAGTGCTTGGCTGTAGCCACCGACCCTGTGAGTCTGTCAGACGAGGATAACAACACAGTTTATCTCTGCTCTAACAAAGTGGATTGACTTTATTCTGTTTTATCTTCTCACAGCAAACAAAGAGGAAGCTCGATGATGCCAACAAACGTTTGGAAGCACTTTATGACAAACTCAGAGAGCAGACGGTGAGTACCAATAAGAAAAACATGCAGAATCAATGTAGGTTTTCCTTTCCTGGAAACCAAGGTCACTTTACATTCAAGAAACTTTGACATGAATCGGTTACATTTTAAAAACAGAAATTTGAATTAAATCCATATATGAACCTCATGCAAGAGGAAATAATTAGTTTTCTCTTGTAGATTTCACATTGAGGTAGAATCAAAATCGCAAGTAGTTACTAAGTTATATACAGAGAGTCTGACTTTCTCATCTTTAGACTTATATGCTTTGTGAATCCGGAATCTAATTATTTTACATGCATCACTTGAGTTAAGAGACAAAGTAAGAGAGATGTGGTGGCCCACATGAATTATAGGAATTATCGTCAGTATGTGGATCATTGTTGAGAGCTCTTCAGAGCTGAGCATCACAGAGACAGTTTATTTGTCAGGGACCATGTACGGGAAAAAAAACTCATACAAAGAGAAAAGAAGCACTGTACTAGATTTAGCTACAAGCTTAATTAAATAACACACATTTCAATCATTAAAATCAATGTAATGTAATTTACACAATCGCATACAAACATACACACGCTGTTTAATTAGTGTTGATAAGGCATCACTGAAATGTCTGAGGGATTCATCTCTCTCCTGGAGCAGTTGTCCATGACACAAAAGTATAATCTCTCACAGTAAATCTGTGCAGTGCCTCTCAGTGGTCTAGGCTTCCATTGCTATCTCTCCAACTTCGATGAGTATTATTGAACTATTTACAATTAAAAAGCGCTGACTTTTCACTGACCCTTTCTGCTTTACCTCTCTCCAGCTCTCTCCAGCCATCGTAGGAGGTCTACATAACATAGCCCGGACTATAGAGTCCCGATCCTACATGGAGGGCCTCAACATCCACACCCACATCGTCAGCAACAGCAACTTCAGCGAGACGTCAGCATTCATGCCCGTACTCAAGGTGGTGCTGACACAGGCCAACAAACTCGGGGTCTGATCAGGCCAGATTATAAAAAACCCCACCACCTCGGCACTCCTCCGAGTCTTTGACTGGCGGACAGTGGAGAGTGAGCGGTCAGGGGTCGAGCTGAGGATGGGCGTTATAAATTGCTGGTTGCTTGTTTCACAGGAAACTCCATTTGAATCAAATGCAAATGATGAAGAATTGTGAGATGTATGAAAAATACTGTTAAATTCTTTTTTTTGTGCCATTCACGTTTTCTGACACAGTTCAAACACAAGCCATACTATCAGTCGCACTCGGTTGGGAAACTAAATTCTGAGCCCGGTGCAAACATATCCACAGTTAAAGGGCTTGAGAGAGTTTGATTAAAGTTCCACCTCAATCTGCCAGAAAGTCACTCTAAACATTTGTTTGTAATTTAGACTTTTACTCATATGGATTAATGCATAATCTTAAAATAAATGTGCAACAATCCCACTGAAGCATAATTTAATCTCCAAACCGACAAGCAAATTATGAGGAATACAGTTTTAAGATTTTGGATATGGAAATGAAGGTAAATAGATTTGGAAGCAAATTGTTTGACTATGTTGGATGCAAAGGAATGAAAATAGAAAGGAAAACGACAACAGATTCAGGAATTGTAATGGCATTTCTATCTACTCATGTTGATCAGTACAAATAAATCTGGTCAACTAAAAGAAACAAGAACCCTTCTTTAGTAGTGTGGACATAAATAGCAGAAGACAGTCATGTAAGAAATATATGCTTGTTTCATCTATATTAAATTTCAATATTGCAGTGCAATACAACAGTGTCCGGATACATCACAGTTAATATAATTTTCTCTTAAAAGTACAAAATTGTGTTTCACATATGAACACAACAATACCTGCATGCATTTCGCAGTAGAGCTGAAAAAGAGGCAACAGAAGGATGAGAGCAGAGGAGAAGTTTTCTATGTTCATTTCAACAGCAGGAGACAAGAAACGAATTAATTTAAAATAAGAACATCTGATTGACTGCCATGCTTTAACCAGTAGTCCCTCCCACAGCATTTAAAGCAACATTAATGCCAGTTTTATTTTCTTAATGTGCTTAATATGACATTTGCTAATACTCTAAACCTGCTTCTAATGGCTTACTTTCACCGCTGATGTCACTAATGCAACACTTTGGACCAAGACGTTGTCAGTGTGTGAAATATTTCAATGCAGAGCAATGCAAACCCAGTGTTTGTGGACATTTTAATGATGTCTTATTTTTGTTGTCTTCTTTTGTTTTTTCCTCTATGTAATCACGAGGCTCCGCTGAGTGCAATGGACTTTTTTTTTTTTTAAACGAGACCGTGCTTTTATGGAATTTGAAAGTATGCATGCTTTAACACAGTGCTAGAAGTCGTCTGTAATGGCATTCAAGGTAATTATCTGCTAATTAACCAGACCTCAGAAGGAAACTGGAAACAGACTTGATTTTGATTCCAACGATGATGAGGGCTGCAGTCTGAGTGGTCAACCTCGGTTGTTTTAGATGGACTACATGCAATATTTTCAATAAATAGTATTTATTTACCTGTGATGTGGCGTTGTTTTGATTTGACTTGGTGTCTGCTGTATTGTACAGTTAAACTTGATTTGGATTGTTCCTCTACAAACAGTTTTCTATCAGTTCAGAACATACATTCATAATATCAAGGCACTGTCAGGTGTGAGCGGCCATCGGCCTTGAACGGTTGGGATGAGCCGAGAAAAATTGGGGGGGGGGCAAAGAGGGGAAAGGAGAGAGAGACCAGGAACTGTTGTGCAACTGTTATACTGAAGCTCTCAGACTGCTTTATATGATACAAATGATAATATAAATACTTAATTAAATGATTTAATTGATGGTAGCTGCACCAGTTAATATTTATTATCTAATCTTATTCATCTCGACCATTTAATTGTTTCATTTAAAATAGATGAATTGTCACATCCATGGAAAATCAGTGGTCTTGAGAGCTTGGAATGAGGATCTGTGGGGGAGATAGGGGAGGAGATGTGAAATAATATTGTGGGAGGCTGGTGTTAGACATTAAGGGAAGTGCAAACTCGATTAACGAGATACTAGATCATTCAAAGGACAGTGGACTCCCTGTCAAATGACAAGATTGCATCTACGGGACATAGAATGGAGGTGTGTGAGGAACAGGCACGCTAATACACATGTCGTACAAATGCTAAACAAAAGGTAAAGTTTGGGAAAATATGATCTAATTTTATAACTAAACTGTAATTCCTTGGTATAAAGTTGCCACTGAGCCTGCTGCTCTGTATGTTAGGTATGATATCACAAAGGATGGGATTGTGGATTCAGCGGATTCAATGGTGCAGAGTCAGACAGGCCTTTATCACAGGTTTGAGATTATTGTCAGAGGTTAATATAAGGTGCTGTTTGCCTTCATGTCCAACCCTTTATTTCTATTCCTTCATCTCCATCATCTCATTTCCATCTATTATTTTTATGTATTTATAATTCCGCGCTTTAATTTTGAAGGACAGACACGCAGAGCGGAAGTGGTACCTGGGTCAAACGCGTTTACCTGACAGCTCCGTGTTTACATCTGGTGTGTGATGCTGAAATGATACCACCTCAGATGTTCACGTGAGGTAAGTTTCATTTATCCTACAAGGAGGTTTAATCTCGATCTTCTTCAGGACTGTAAATAAAAAGCACGGGAGGAGAGCTGACACGCGCAGGACGTTCCTGACGTAACGTTTGTGACGGATTAACCCACCGGAAGAACAGGTAGAGTTACCGTCACTTCACTGATAACAGGTAGAGTTACCGTCACTTCACTAAGAACAGGTAGAGTTACCGTCACTTTACTAAGAA